TTGCCTGTATCTTATCTGCTACATGTTTAAAAGTCAAAGCACCTTCTTGTTCCTGTTTCTGGTTTTAAGGTGTTTTTTGGTCTTACCGTACTTCAATACCCATGCACCAATGACTTGAAGATCCCTTTTTTTGCATTTGCATTTTGTATTGTTGCATATTCTCTTTTTATTGTTTTCATTTTCCCTTCTTCAGATATTTTTCTTTTTCCTTTTATAATTCAGTAATTCCTGCTTTTGCCAGCGAAACAAAAATTACAATTATTAATTTGCATATCGCATTTTTCTCCCTTTAAAATAATGCCACCTGTTTGTTACCTATGCCAGATAACAAAGGTTAGTTCCTTTTTAACTCTATTCGACTTTCTCACCCATTTTCATATTTAATGGATACAATTAGGATGAAATAAGAATTTATGGCCTTAGTTTCATGAAATAAAGGGTAGAGGACTTATTTCTACTTTTGGGTGAAGTTTGAGGGCTTATTTGGATATTTATGCATTTTTCTCCTAAAATAAGGGGAACTGTTTGGTGTCATTTTTTCCATGTTTTTTGGTTAGGGCCCTCCTTAATGAATCTCTTTCCTTTCTCATTCTTAATGCAGCAAATTAATTTTTGGTTTTACACTTCAGGCATTTTGGGACTTCGTAGATAAAAAGCAGCTTGGAACAACTAGGGCTGAATGCTCTGTGACAAGTGAGTGGTCTTATGATGGACGCTATTTCATGACTGCAACAACAGCTCCAAGACTCCAAGTTGACAATTGGTATGTTGTCGTTGATGTTTTCATATATGGGAGGTACAGAGGAGTGCTGCACTTTACATGTCACCTTGATATTTATTTGAATACCATCCAACCTGTTCTAACCACATGGTGTTCTTGATTTAATTGTTTTGTTACATTACATTAATAATTTCTTGTTCTTACCACAAAGCATTGAAAAATAGATGATTCTTTCTATGGGTATGAATTTTAGATTATTAATGTGTATTTTAGATTTGGATTCTTCATGTGGTGTGAGATGATGAGTCATAAATCAAAACCATGTTAATGCAATTGTCTAAGTTGATTTAGTTTGTGGCAAAAAAGCTTTAAGCAGTGGCTAATGTAAATTCTGCATTGTACAGTTCTCTTCAAAATGAGCATATCAAAAGTGTAAATCAACAATTGAACATTTATCCAATGCATGCTGTTATAGAACTCATAGAGATGTATTTTAACCTCGTAGGAAGGTTCATAAGTACTCTGACCCTATTTAGAGCTGGTTGCTGAGTTGATCTCAGACTTAGATATTGACTTGGTCACTTTAAACAACAAAGAGAGTAGTTAACCTTGGCATGTCAATGACTAAGGAGATATAAAGGGAAAAATTCAAGTACAAACCTCCATTTTTATTCTCTCTTCCTTTCAGATAAGAAAACAATTGTCGTTCATTCCTCTCTCTGTTAATATGCATATATAGAGTGTGTCAGTATACATTCTTATCCTTTTACTGTATTTAAAGGTAACCATTTGATGAATCTCGAATTTTGTTGTTGTTGAAGCATTAAAATTTTCCACCACAATGGATCCTTGTTCTTTAAGAAGATGTTTGACAAGTTGTTCCAGGCGAGTATTATCATAAGGTAGTGCTCTTGTTTGAAGTGGTTTCATGTGCACTTTTCCTTACTTGGCCCTATGTTTATCATTCACGCAGGCTGATTGGAAGCCAGAGTCACCAGATAAGTTTGGTGAAATTTCTGAACTTATTAAGTCCGTTGATTCCATAAAGGTCGAAGAAACCAAACCACAAGGTTCTATTTCTTCAATATTTCTGACATTCTTTTATTATGAAATTCTCTTTTGGTAATTTTGTGATTCAGCGAACATTGTTAATCATTTTCCAGGACAAGGGTCAACCTCCAAAAAAACTGCCTCTGCCAATCCTCCTGCACAGAAACCTGCTGCATATCGCCCTCCACATGCTAAGAATGCTGCTGCAGTTCAGGCAGAGGTATTCTGTGACAACTATGGGGTATATCACAATGATGGCTTGAATGAAATGCAACTTATAAACAAGAAACAAATGGACAAGAAATAGATAAAGATTTTTCTTACTTAAAAAGACAATTAGTTGCAAAAGATCAATTTTTGGAAGCACTCTTTAGTAGACTGTCACTGAAGATCCAGTTGCAATTATGGAATCTTAAAGGGGATGAATTTTGCAAAAAATAAGGGATAATACAACATCCTTCCAAGTAGACTATTAGTCACAGAATCACACTGCAGAAGAAAATTGGATTTTTAAATAATTGGCACCTGTGACTCCTCACCTCATTCTAGCTTGCTTACCTTCTCAATGATCTTCAATATAATTGCATTACTAGGATTACATTCCTCTATTTTTATTTGCTTAATGTGGTCCTGACTTGTCTTAATGATATTGTAATGGCAGTTGTTTGGAGGGAGTAGTACAGGGTGAGTTCCCTTTATCATAATTTTGTCCTATATCTATACAGTTTTTTTTTTTTTCATGTTTTCTAATGCTTTGGAGTATGTCATGTGAATATAGAGAAATGAGCAAGAATGCACTCAGAAACAAGAAGAAGAGGGAGAAGCAAAAAGAGAAAAAAGCGGCTGAGGCAGCTGCTGCGGCAGATGCTACATGATCAAGTGCAGTTTTACCCTACTAGCACTTAAAACTGTTTAAACCTGGATACCCTGCAGTCACCAGTCTTTATCTGGAATATTCACTTGTCTTGTATGATTTTGGGCTTTGCCTTACCTCTCATTTCCTTCTGTTTTTTTTTTCTCGAGGAAACTGGAGAAAGGGGGAGTGTGGGTTGAGTAAAAATTTTGAGCGGAGCAGAACATTTATGCACATGGAAGCGTGTGTTCTATCTTTTGTTTTGTGTATTAACCTATCGCAGTGGCTTGGTTACAGCCATACCAATAAAAAGGTTTCTCGTGCTTCTGCCTTTTTTTACCTCTTCATCCTGGTGGAAGACTACACCAATGAAATACGATCACTATGTTTGATAGCAGGAAAAGAGGGAAGAGTAGGAGTATGCTTCTTTCTTTTTCTTTTTCCGCACGGTAAGAGAAAAATAGAAGAAAGGAAATAAAAAGAATAGATTGATACACATATTTTTTCTAAATCTAATTTTTATATATTGAGAGAAAATTATTTCTTTTTCTTTTCTCTTCACTTATTTTTCCCTATTTTTCGAACTATACATATCAACTAAGATTATCCCTTGTCTGACGACTGATGGAATTTATATCCCCAGGAAAATTGATTTTTACAACTTGTGCTGCAAAAGGCTATTCAACTTCTGCAGCTGAAATTCAAAATATCACATCCGTCGGGGTCATAAATCTGTGACCTCCACAACCAGAAGATTTCACCCATCATTGTCCAAATTATGCAGAACCGCAAATTGTGGCCTCCAGGTTTTCAGAATTCAACCCTGGCTTGTGATGATTCACCCCGCAAAACAGTTTGACACTTTCCAATTGAGTGGCCATGGTTGCCTAACTAGAAGCACCTCAGCCAATGAAACAGAAACAAACGGGCAAACCAAAAATTGCATTCGGAGGCTTCTCAGTTTCTGCTAGCCACATAATTAACCAGCTAGTTGGGTTCAAGCTTCCCTTTGAAGTTAATTTTTCTTTCTCAACGAAGCACCTGGTCAATTCGAAACGGAATTGAGTTCCTCACCGCCTCTTCGTCAGCAAATGCCAATTGTTCTATTAAGTCCACCAATAAGAAGATTCATCTGCACCTACAAGGTATCCTCGTAAATTATTATTATTATTCTTTTCTTGTGCAAAGTGTTCAACTTAATTATTGGCTCTTTCCCAACACGACAAATAATTGGCGTCGTTTTCGTTCAAACATAGCATCTTCTCATGGCTCAGGAGTCAGACAATTCACCGCATCTTTGCTTGCATCACAGATCTTTAGGAGGCTTTGAGACCCCACCAACAAATATTAAGAAAGTGAAGAATTGCCAATTGGCTTTTTTGATGGCTACCCAACTATCCTCTTGTTGCCAAACTCAGCGTCACTGATGCATCCGACCCACTACATTATATATGACATCTCATAAAATTTTAATTATTAATTTTTTCTAGTGTCACTAACTTCTTGACCAACCGATCCAATAATAGAGGTGATAACTCTCTGTTGTCTGCCTCTGATTATTTAATAAAAACCAATATATATATATATATATATATACTATTAATTAGGAACCACATAAATAACCGATATGCAATCCAATTTTGGGTTTATTGACTTTAATGTAATTACCTAACGTTTCTTCACGACTTTGATTAGACGTTATTTTTCTTTATGGAAAGTATATCATGAAGAAAAGTATAAAATAAAGCTTGCTAATTTTCCATTAACTTGGTGAAATCTAAAGGATTATTCGTCCAAGTCATTCACAACTTTGAATGTAAGAACCAATACCTGCTTTTGATTACGCATAATTTCACATATTCTTTCACTGGTTTAAATGCTGAATATCTATTGAATCAGGAATTAGCAATGAATATTTAGTAAATTTAGTATCAGTTACGCGTCCATTGAACTGGCTTTTAGGTGAGGAGTAACGACATTAACATCAAAGAAAGTTTTTCAAGAAGCAGGGTTCCAAGGTTCAAACTTTTTGTCTGATAACTAGGGCTTATAGGCAAGGCTGGCCTTGTCTAGCTTGATTTGTTTGGTAGAGAAATGAAGAAAATTGAAACAGTGAGAAGGTTCAAACTTGTCTCATTCGTTTAGGGTTCGTTTAAGACTATGACACAGGTTATAGGAAATTAAATGATATAATTGAAAGCATCGTATCAAAATATCTTCTTCTTCTTCTTTATATTACCTTTTTCCATCCTATCAATCTATTAGGATATCCCTTTCCCTGGGAAGCTTTGGTTATGGTTAATCATCCATATTATATTATATTAATACAGGATTCATTAATCATGGATTAGCAAAACAACGAAACGGAGGCTCAGATTACTATAAAATGATACTTCTACTGTTTATTACTAGCAAATTCTTGATTCCTACTAGAGCAATCAAGAAACAATATTACACCATCAAATCTATTTCGTATGCGAAGGACAGAGGAGCGAGGAACAACAGATTTTTTCTTTCCATCAAAGAAAAAAAAAATCTTCACCGATAGCCCCAGCGGCAGATAACATTTTGGAACTAACCTCTTCATCAATCCATTGAATTTTTAGCGGGTTAGCCTTCTAGTAATACTACTATTTTAGTTTTTCTTCAAGAGCATGGCTCTGAGCTCGGCCACGTCGATCTCCTTGGCGGTGTTCTCAGGTCTATAGAATCCAGTAACTGGGTCAGGAACCCATGAAACCTTCTCTTTAGCTCCTGCCATCTCTTCCCCTGTTTTCTTCACCACCGCCGCCTTCCTTGCTGTTCCACCGGATACAACTCCTTGTGATGCCGCCGCATATCCTCGTCTACACAAAACAAAACAAAAACATCATTAAATCTTTATTCCTTTTCTTTATCTCAGCAAACAAAACAAAAAGGAGAAAAACAAAGAAACAGAGCCATGATAATGAAAGAACTTCTGGGTACCTGGAGATAGCGCTAGAGATTCCATCAGCAACGAAAGTAGAGAAAAGCTTAGCGTTTGAGAAAGAGCGAGCCATTTCTTTCTTTTCTTTTTTAAATTCAAACTTTGGATTGAGAAAAACTTGAACGCTACTGCAGAAAGCCTTTTTTTTTTTATTCTTGAAAGGAAAAGAAACCGTCCGCAGCAGCGAAGAAGAAACCTCTCTCTCTCTTTCTCTCTAGAAAGCCTTTATGAAGATGGGTTCCGAAGTGGGACTCTCGTTGGGTTTATATAGAAAAGAAAAAAATGTTGCGGAACGCGTGAGAGGCGAGGGATAATAATAGCGTCCACTAAAGTTTAAACAGACCCCGTCAACACACGAGTAACGGACCTCACTTTTGCTGCCACCTGGAAGTTTTAATCTAGAACCTTTTTTAACTTTTTTGTACCATGTCATGTTGATAATCAAATTAATAAATGAGCCCAATATTGACCGTTCGTTTGCCAAGGGTCAAATTTTACGGCCGGGAGATCAAATATCGGACGGTTGAGAGACATTGCATGATTGTGAGTGCGGACTTTTTCTTTCAAATCAATATCAAGCATGTGAAAAGAGAGGTCTTTCCCGGGTTCAACGAGGAAGGGTCGCCGTGAGTGAGGGAAGTCGACGAAAATGTAGCCGTTGATGTGGGATGGGTGTGACATCATATCCGTCACGTGTAAAAGAACCATACATGGTAAGAGGCGGCGGAGTTTGCTTGCTCCTTTGTTCTGGAAGTGCTGACCAGATGCCCCTTCGACGAGTCCTCTAAGGGTCCCTACCAAGTCAAGGGTCAATCCCCCTCCGATTTCCAATTTTAGAGGTTTTGTTTTGTCATTTTAATTTCTAATTTATCAACCAAACCGGAAAGTAAATTTTGTTCTCATTCTTTTCTCGTTAAAGCAAAAATAACTTTATCGTGGCAACCGCCTTAGATAATGGTCACAGGCTGGAGTGCCTCGCTTTCGGCATACAGATATCGGGTGATGTTCAAGGAATCCCTTCAACATTTCGCCTCTTTCTGCTCAATTTCCCGTGATGGCTTTCGTCTTTTGCTCTCCGCCTCTAAATTTATTATTCTGGATTTAATGATTTTGTTGTTTCAAGATTTTAAGTGGTCATCATTTCACTGGCGCTTTTCTCCCTTTCTTTTTAATTTCTTTTGGTTTTGAATAATTAATATATGTATTTTTTAATATTAAGTTATTATAAAAACAGTGATCGATTATGATTTAGCAAGTAAATTATTTTCGTTAAATGTTAACTTATACGCTTATAAATCTTTATTAAGATGTCATTTAAAAATATATTTATGCATATGTGATGTAACAAATGGTTGATTTTAATTTATATAATTGGAAAAAGATATCACTAGTACTTTGAAAAAAATATTAACAAATACTTAAGCTTATCTTCTGAGGTAATTAGTAAGTTTGGCATCTTCAACTTTATAACCACATGGTCCACATCCATAAAATTTATCATTCTTAAATGGAAGAAAAAAAAAAGACCTGATCTTCGTGAGCTACACTTTTTTTATTATTACTTTCTGCTAAAGGTCAACTACATTTTTTTTAAGTGCATGGTTTTGATTTTTTTTAATAAACGAATAAAAAGAAAAAATTTAAAAATTAGCGAATGTTGATAAGCAATTACTAAGATTTGGATGGCTGCATTTGGGAAGGGGAACCGTTCTCATTACACAGAAGAAATAATATAGGAAAATAATGAAAGCTGGTGAAAAGAAACAAAAGTAAGAAAATATCGTCCATGGCGCTTGTTTCGGAGCTGCAGGCGCCTTGTCAAGTATAATTAAAACGCAGCAGCCAGCACATAGATATTTGGCGTGGTCCAGCCAACGTTTTATTGGCAAAACGTTGAGCTCCGCTTTGGCTCTTTGGCGTTTTGTTCAGGTCAAGCCATCACCCGTCCTAATCCCTCCCTCTCTTGCAGCTGTTTCTATACAATCTACAGCCAACAAGTAATGAAAGGCTGGCTCCTGGCTGGCGGCAGCCCGACAATTTCAGGATATTTTTCTATTATTATTATTATTATAATCAATTCTATATAATATGGAGTAGTACTTCTATATTTGTGATTATAGTAATCACTGAAGTAAATAGTTTTGTCATGATATATTTTTTTTTTCGATATGGAATTATTATAAAGGTTGTGTACAATTTTTCATAAGCATAATCCAATATACAATCCTTCTCTCTATTTTTCCCACCTTAAGTTTCTTTCATGATGTGGTGGGCATATTAGAGAAAACATGAAATATTCGAATACAAATTTTGACATAAACAATACATTTGAACATTTAATTTATTAATTAATATATAATTTTTTATTTAAAAAATAAAATTTCAATCTCTAATCTCTCAATTATAAAAAAAAAAACCCTTTGACATAAGAAATATAAGAGCCAAGTGTATATTACTATAAATAATATTTGCGTGTGTATTGTGGTTGTCATTATTTCATGGTTTTATTTGTTTAAAATTAGGGAATATTTGCAATATAGAAAAGAAAAAGAATGGGTGAATTTTTCCATCTAAAATTGATATATCAATCAACCTATCAGCATGTTGCATCAAAAGGCTCATTTATGTACCAAATCGCGTTCTAATGAACTTTCGTTTCTCTCATTGGCCATCATAGGCGTGCCCAGAGGCCGAGGGAGGGGGGGTTAGTAGGGGCCCCCCGCTCTCCAAAGTTCCAAACATTTATAATATTTTCTTTATTTTTGTTTTAAATATTTATAATTTTGTTTTTATTTTTTAACAAATTTTATAATTTTTCCCTTTCAAATATTAAATTTTTATTTTAACTTTTTTAAACTTAAAATTTTAACCTCGTCGGTGTACATGCCCAAATGACATTAAGGTATTACCATCTAAAAAAGTAGGTCAACCTACCTGCAACTTTCCCTCATCTTAGAACGCAACGGCCCCTGCGCCCAAATATTAAAATGAATAAAGAGCTTAGTCAACCTGCAAAAAACAAAACGGAAGAGGAAGGGGGCTCGTTATACAGGGCAAAATTCGCCTCCCAAAGGAAGAAGAATACTTTTCCTATGACAAGTTGAAGTTGGTGGCACTACGAGGGTCACCCACCGAGAATACAAACCAAGGGGCTCGTTTTGCAGAGGCAATTACCTTGCCGAGGAAAAATACAAGTACTTTCTCTGACAAGCTGATGAAATTGGTAGGCACGGTTATCCACTTGTTCATCCTTATCCTGAAAAAAGGGAAAGGGTAACGTATTACCGTCATCTCATTTCCATTTTAATACAAGGCCTAATAAACAATGCGACTGTTGTTGCTCGCAAGAGGCGGGGTCGGAGACAGATTTTTCTTTTTGGATACATCATGTAGCAAGATTCCGCGACCCGGACGTGGGTGGCATTCCCAGTTTTCTCTGGCATGATTATGTTCGTCTCTTCAATAGAAGGAGTGGACACATTAAAAGTTTAATCCCGTAGCAACCTTGGGTAATTAATTAAAATTAAATGGACCTACTTCTCATCATTTTTTTTATTATTATTTTTTATTTAAGAAAAAAATTAAAAATTTACGTGCCAATCATTAACTAACAGCATATTTGGTTCCTATTACCTAACTATTTTTGTATTTGATTCATGGGAATGATTATTATGAAAAATGACCATTATTTGATTGGTAATAACTATTCCACATTTGAGGGAATAGACAAAAAATAATATGGTGCAAAATTACATTTTATCAAATTTGAAGGTTATTTTCTTATTTAAGATGTAATTTGTTTATTTTCACATGTTCTTTCTCTCTCTATACACCTCCCTCTCTCCTCTCTCTAAATTAAACTAAAATTTTAATATAAATTATGAAAATTAATATTTTAAATTTTAAAATCAAATTAAAATTTTAATTATAAATTTTTAATATTTTAAAAATAAAGAATAAAATAAAATACTGGTGTTAATATTTATTTATAAATTATTAATATTTTAAATGAAATATAAATTATTCACATTCTAAAAATAAAAAAATAACTATATTTAAATTTTAAATAATAATTTAATAGTAATTTTAATAAATGATTAAAAATAAATATTTTAATTAAAAATCAAATATTATAACAAATGACATTTTTATCTTTTTATCATCTATTTTTTTACTACTTCAAAATTATTTTTACCAACCAAAAATTAAAATAAATCATAATAGTTATTTCTACTTTATTTCATTTTATGAAATCAATTATATAAAAATTATTATTTTATTTTATTTTTATAAAATAATTATTCTATTTTCTCTGTATTTCATTTAACGAATCAAACACATTTTAAAGTTTCGAATACAACAGTTCATTTTTCTTAAGCGGTGGCAACATCCTTATGTCAGTTTGGGTCATAAATACTAGACGAAAAACCGCCTTGAAACTTATGGACTGGACTTGGACCAAGCCGACCCTTTTACTTTTCAGCCCAAGTTACAAAGCTTTTGGCCCATAAGTTTAGCCCTCATGAGGAAAACATTGAGCCCAGCCCAATATGGGGTTCGACCTTTCCAGCTTTCCCTGTCGACTGTTCTGCACTCGATTAGGGCATTTACCCGAAAAAACCCCGCATTAAACCCCATTTTGCTCTTGCCCAAAAAAAATATATATATATTTTGCTCGTCTCACTCACTGTTCTTTGCTTTTGATTAGAGCCAGAGCTAGGGATAAAAATGGCGGAGATTAGTCAGGGCGAAGAAGTTCCTCCGAATATGACTTTATACATCAACAATCTCAACGAGAAGATCAAAATTGACCGTACTTATTTAAACTCTCCAAACAAGAAAAAAGAAAAAGGCTTACATTGGTATGTTTTTTATTGATTTTTTTTTCTCTTTTGAATGATGCGTGCAGAGTTGAAGAAATCATTGCACGCTGTGTTTTCACAATTTGGGAAGATACTGGATGTGCTAGCATTCAAGACGCTGAAACACAAAGGTCAAGCTTGGGTTATTTTCGAGGAAGTTAACTCCGCTGCCAATGCTCTTAGGCGAATGCAGGGATTTCCCTTTTACGACAAGGAAATGGTATTTGTATTTTAAAAACTTTTGTATTTCTTTGTCTATGATTCGATAAATTTCAGTAATTTGAGTGTTTTTGGTTTTTGGGCTTATGTTTGTGTCTTTGTTTAGGTTGTTTTCTGTCTAGTCTTTAACCAATATTGCTTGACTAGCCTTTTATTTTGGAGAACAATGGCTAGATTTTATAGGGTACTGTCATTAGTGGAGAATGCAACAATTGACTAAAGTTTCTTTTAATATGTCAAAATTGCATTTTTTTTTTCAGAAGAATGGAAAGGATATTCTGGAGATTGAGGTGGATTATTTTTTTTTAAACAGTGTTCTATACTGCCATAAAGCATCATAAGTTTTTTTACTATTAAATAATGCAAATAATGTTTAATAATTTGCAGAGAATACAATACGCAAAGACTAAATCAGATATAATAGCAAAAGCAGATGGTACTTTTGTTCCCCGAGAGAAGCGAAAGAGGCATGAGGACAAGGGTACATTCCTCTGTCTTCCTCATCTTTAGTTGAAGCTAATAGTTGAGCAAGTAATATTGTTGTTCTTGTATGCCATTTTTCAATCAATATTTCTATTGTTGTTGTTAGTAACATGTTTTTTCTTCTATTATTAATTGGATTTATGAGTCTTTTTGGATCCTTCTTCGAACTTTGCGTCACAGCCTATCTAGATATTACCAATCGATGCATTGACCGTTGATTTATAATCATGGAATGCACATTTAGATGCCTTATAAATTGTCTTAACTTCAAAGTAAATCTCATCCCTTCCGCGTCGTTCCTCTTCTCGCTGTTATTTCCTTTTGCCCCACCATTGATCTGTTTAGATGTTCTCTGTCATTAGTTGGGTCCTCATCGTCACCAAAAACTCATTTATTCAGTAGAAAGTACCTTTGGGTACATATAGGTGTGGTGGGGAAGTAAAACTCAGGATGGTTATGTTTTAGTACTAAATGTTCTTTAACGCTAAGCATGTGTATTATTTCTTCTTCTTTCTTTGACTTGTTACTTATTCTGACCTATATGGCATGCAAATTTATCTTTTTTGTAGTTCGCTTTCTTTTTCTTCTCTTGAAGGATTTCTATATTGTTTAAATGTAGGAGGGAAAAAACGAAAAGAGCAACTTGATCCTAATCAAGCAGCAGCGGGTTTGAATCCAGCTTATCCGGGTGCTTATGGTGCAACACCTCCTGTAAGTGATGTAAAATATAGTATCTTAGTGCGTGATTGATCACATCTTTGCTCTCTCTATGAGATCTGGTTAAAGTTAACCCTGCTTAATCTTGCAACTATATCCTCAGTACAGATTGCTCAGAAGTTTATATTTTTTAGGCTTTGGCCGCATATATAACTTATGAACTGCTGAAATCCAGTTGGTGTAAACCTCATGCTGGTCAAAAGAGTTGGAGTGAGCAATTTTTATTAAATCTATATGGAATTTGTACTGCTTTGCAGTGTTGAAGAACTAGTTGCACTTTAATTTTCTCTCAGGAAAGTTGGATGCTAATTGAACTTGACCATTCATTATCACGCTACCTCCATGAGACTTGTGGTGGTCAACTTGATCAATGGTCAAGATTGGATACTCTAGAATTGTATATGAAGAAACATTTTCCTTTGTTTAAGGGTCTTGTTGTTTATTTAGTTGAAATTAATATTTAATTACATCCTCTCGTCAAGAAGACAAAAAAGGTTAAAAATGTAGATGATCCTCATCATTTGCTTCTTTTCCTCCACATGCTGCAGCTATCACAAATACCCTATCTGGGCGCTAGACCAATTGTTCCAGAAGCGCCAGCACCACCAAATAACATTCTGTTTGTTCAGAATCTTCCTCATGATACAACCACGATGATGCTGCAAATGCTCTTCAACCAATACCCTGGTTTAAAGGACGTTAGGATGGTGGAAACAAAACCAGGTATAGCCTTTGTGGAGTATGAAAACGAGATGCAATCAACAGTGGCAATGCAGGCACTACAAGGTTTCAAGATACAGCAAAACCAGATGTTGATTACCTATGCAAAGAAGTAGATGGGAAAGCCGAAAATGCCCAAGTCCTTTTTGTTGCCATCTACTTGAGAAGAAGGCCTTGTTTATGGGTGGTCAATTAGATGCCCTCAAATCTAATAGCTATTTTGTGGTATATTCTCTTGAACTAGAGCTTCAGAAGTGTTATTGTAGATTGTAGTCCAGATATGTACCTTGTGCTACAATTTTTCATTTAGTACTAGTCTTTTTTTGAAAAAATTAGTTGATTTATGCTTACCTGCTTATTACTTTGTGCTAATATGAGTAGAAACATTGAGGATGCTATTTGGTTTTAAAATTTTATGCCAAAGCAGATGTGTCAACTTCAGTGCTGTAGTTGCAGCAGCCCATATTTACTTTTGTCATGGTTCCTAATCAGAGACCTGAGGCTGCATTTGGGATTTTATTATTGCAACATTCTAATGAAATGTGATTGTTGGGATGTTAATATTATAACATTTGGTATATAATAAAAGAGTGTTGATAAAAATTTTGAAAAGTTTACCTTGCAGCTTTTGGTTTGGAAATAGTTTGGTAGGAATATGGTATTAATTTATAGAATTATTTGTGTATGAAAATATATAGTTTAATACACTTACATTCTTTTTAATGTAAAATTTTAAGTTTTCAAACTTCACTTTTAAAATAATAAATAATAACATTGTATTATAGTATTAATCATTTAAATTTTGAAAAATGTGAAATTATTAAAAAAAAAAATTCTAATAATGTCTAAAACTATTAGAACTAATTATTTTGAATAAATTACTGTCAATTACGTGGAACCATAATGTTACCCACTTTTTTATGGTTTATTTTATTTGCCCCTGAACTCAACTTCCATGTTTGTTAGTTTGTTGAATTAATGCAAAAGTTTTAAACACAAAAGAATAATTAAAAACATTATCCAAAGAGTTGTCAGATTGTTTTTGCTCATTTTTTACAACATTAATCTTGACTTTGTCACTAAGCTTCCTTGGCCAATGACTTTTTATTTTTGAAATAAATAGCCAATGCTTTTAGTAATATTAAAAGCATGCAAATTATAAAAAAGAAAAAACATCTATAGGTATATATATATATATCAATGATGTAGATGCTTGATTTTGACAAACTTATTATTTCCTTAAAACTTGTCTTATAGAATGAAAATGACCATAAAACAATTATATCTATGGACAACAGTGAAAATAACCCAGAACGAGTGATAAGATTTACAGATTAATTTCACCGGAGGGGTGTTTTAGAAAGTCAGATATGCAGTTAGTTAAAAGGTAATGTGAAATGTGATGCCCACCTATTAAAATCCAATCTCAATACCAAAGGGAACCTAAATTCATGGTTATTAAATAACCATCAATTACCACTTGTTATTGCCCAGCATCATTCACATCAAACTTAGCAGAAAGACTAAATCAGTATATTGATGGGTTGAATTAATTGTGCTTCCTGCAGTTTAACAAGCAGCGAATAAAAATACTGCCACTACTGAGCAATAAGATGACTGGTAGTAAAGCAAGACCCTAACTCAAACTAATCTCGAGCAAAATAACCTTAGAGATCACTACGCCCTTATTGCTAGTCAACTATACTCTCTCCAGTTCAGTGTTGTGTTTGTCCAGTTGGTCTGTCAAATCCTTACGCCATCCCTGGATCAGTCTCTCTTGATTGTTGATGATCTCAGACTTTACCTTCAATTCTTCTTCCATTGTTGCAATTTCCTATTAGAACAAGAAACACATCAAATAAGGGTTCTTTGGATTGGAGTTGGGTAATCATATAAACAGCATCTATGGTAACAGTTGGATGGATTTACTTTTCTGAGCATTTCAGCCCTGGTTGGCTGATCCTCACGCTGCAGGCCAATGAAGTATAACTGTAGCTTCTTGGCAGCCTCCATAAAGTCTCTAGCATGTCTCTCTACATCAACTACATTATATTGCAAATATAAAAATTCAGCACATACGAATTCGATCCAAAAAGGTTCAAATTACTTAATTTTCAGGTTAACTTAAGCTAGAGATAGTAATTTAAATGTCAAGCGCAGATTAATTTGTAACTTGAGGAATGTGGAAACAAGCATCTGAAATTTAGTAACTTTGAAGCTTCAATTTAGGCAATAATGAATGCATTAAGTCATCTACCAAGAAAAGAGTAAACTAGAAAGTAATTCAACAGTGAAAAAAAAGTGCACGCGACTGCAATTGCCCCTACTCCCTTTAAGTTGCCTTTTATCTTCTTTAGTACTATAAAAAAGAAAACTACAACTCGAGACTTATGGTCATCTGTATTTCATTTTTCATTAATTAATTAATTTGTGTTTTAAGGATTTATCGATCACCAGGGCGCTGTTCATGCGTCCCCATTGTTTATCTTAGATTCCAGAACTAAGTATCTAACTATAGGCAACGCTTTGGAAAGAAAATGGAAATGGTTACTGACTCTGATGAGAAGGGTGGGGAGAACGGTCGATAGCCTGAAGCTCTCTGGCCGGCAAGCACGGCAACAAAGCCGTCTCCAACGCCACCACCCACGAAATCATGTCTTCTCTCGAACCCTGAGCCGACTGAATCTGCGGATCCAACTGAAGCTCTTGCCTTTCACTACTCATGCCTGCTTCACAAATTTCACTCTCCCCTCAGCAACAACCAATTCAAGGGTTTTAACGTTTTCCTTCCTTCCTTTTATTTTTTGTTCTTGTGAGTGTACGGACAAAGGGTTCAACCTTTTCAATTTTCCTGGAATCTGCAATTCTGAACGGGCTTTCCCGTCTGGACTCAGGGGATTCGGCCCGATATCTACTAAGAGTGCTTGACACGATTCATTCATTCATTATTCTAATCGTAAACGACGACGTAGGGAGCATCCATTTTTTCAAATTTTGGGTTAGTCAAAAAAAATGCCAGAAGACGCGCGGTATCGTGCTCCGAAAGCTGCTGCTAAAACGACAGAGTTTTGAACCACTATTTCCATCATCTAAAAAGGTAACCCTCCATTTCCTCCAACAGTCTGAAAAACCGAGTTCTCCCGCTCTCTCTCCGCTTATAAAGAGCGAAAATATGGCAAGTAAGCTCAAAGTAGACCAGCTCCGAACCGAGCTCGCCAAGCGTGGGCTTGACACCAACGGAACCAAGCCCTTTCTGGTCGCCCAATCTCTCTTTCTACTCACTTGTCTGCCCTTTACTTTACAACAATTCAATAGCACATTTCTTACTTTTTCCTTAATTTTGAGTTGTTAACAGGTGCAGAGACTGGAGGAAGCTTTGCTTAAAGAGAAGAAGAACGAAGAGGAGAATAAAGAAAATGATGCTAATAATGCAATTGAAAGTAACAAGAAAAAAAGAGGGAGCGAGTCTAATCAAAATAATAATGATGATGAAGATTCAAACAAAATCAAGGCCGTTGAGGAGTTTCGGCAAATGAGTGTTAAGCAATTACGCGAGCAAGCTACTCTTCGAGGTCTTTCCACTGTTGGGACCAGAAAAGAACTCACTGAGAGGCTTTGCGAAGATGCAGAGAAAAACTCTGTTGACGGTAACGATTAGTATTTGTAATTTTGTTCTGCAGTTTTGTTCGTTAGTTCCATTAATAAAAGAATAAAGCAAGTTTTTTTTTTCTTGTTTTGTGTTGACAGAGGTGGTTAAAGAAGAAGAAGAAGAAGAAGAAGAAAAAGAGAAAGACAGTAGCAAGGAGGAGAAAATCGTTACGGCGACAAAGAAGGGTGCGGCAGTTCTTGACCAAGGGATTCCAGATCATATAAAGGCTCATTATCATGTTTTACAACAGGCTAGTCTTGCAGTTTAGATTCCGTTTAACAGCCTGTCAGTTTGGAAATATTTTGCCTGCCTGGTTTAATTTAATTTTATTTTTCTAAAAAGGAATTTATTTTAATTTCTATGATGCAGGGTGATAATATCTATGATGCCATGTTGAATCAGACGAATGTTGGGCATAACAATAACAAGTTCTATGTGATCCAACTTCTAGGTTATTTCGCAATTCTCATTTCTCAGTTATTATAATGCGGTTACACATGCTGTTGCAGTACTAATTTTCAAATTTATTGCTTTAAGCATCTTTTGATGACATTATAAATTATAGTTTAATTATTTTTCAGAAAGAAAAAGAATGCTAAGAGGGCTTAGGCTCATCTAAATTCTATTGCGACATCTTCATGTTTTTGGTTGGGGGGGTTGGGATCTGTATGGTGTTCGTTAGTTTTTCTAAGATCATGATTTCCTTATTAAGTATTTTCTTGCAGAATCTGATGATTGGAAGACATACATGGTATATAATAGATGGGGTAGAGTTGGTATAAAGGGTCAAACTAAATTACACGGCCCCTTTACATCACAACAAGCTGCAATTGTTGAGTTTGAATCAAAGTTCTTTAACAAGACCAATAACTATTGGTCCAACAGAAAAGACTTTGTCTGTTACCCAAGGTGCTATACCTGGCTGGAAATGGACTATGATGAAAAAGAAAAAGAATCTGATGTGAGTTGTTTTAACCCACAAATAGATGATTTGCTGGCTCCTGCACCTCCTCCCTCTATGTCCCCCTTCCTAATTTAGCTGAATGCTTAAGAATCCAGATTTTTGCTTGCCAAAAAATTGTGTTTTAGAAAATGAGGGGAATGGGAGAGGAGGGCATTCTATATCCTACCTTGTATATGGAGACTTGGATGCTTGATGGAAACTTTTGAATTCTCATTACTTATGTTCAGCTCAAAGAAAAGACAGACTCTTCCGTTGGTGCTCAATTGCGAGAGACAATGCTTGAACAACGCATTGCTAAATTTATCTCTCTTATATGCAATATCAGCATGATGAAGCAACAAATGATGGAAATAGGTTAGTTAGCTAATCATTGTTATCTAAAGTATCCAAAAGCATGATGGATGTTTCGTTCGATTTTTAAGCCTCATTTGTTTCCATTGCTTTTCTGTTGCTTAATAAATTCCTCTTAGTTTAAATCTGTGTGCTGCTGCTATTATTTCATATAAATGTTTTGGCTGTCTTTCAGGATACAATGCTGACAAGTTGCCACTTGGTAAGCTAAGCAAATCAACAATTTTAAGGGTAATTTTCGAGACATGCACAGAACATTCTCTTTGAAACCTTTTTGTTTAGTTAGAAAGTATAAAAGATTGTGGAAGGAAAAAAGTATTCCACTTTGGTGATTATTTGCTTGCAAGGCCTGCGTTTTAAACTATTTTAAATACGTGAAGGTCTAGTTTGGTCGTTGAATCAGTGTACGTATAAGTTATGCTTTGGTGCCACAGCTCTCAGTGCTTTGAGTTTAGAAATGACTTCTTTTCCTCTGCCCTTAATTCTACTTTTCAAGTTGAGTGCCTATTTTCCATCCATTATGGCCCCCTACCTCCTGCTGTGCATTGTTCTTGGAATGGTTTCTCAGCATTGATCTTATTATAGGGAATTTCTTGGTTCCACGCTGCTTCTGCAAGCTTGCCTTTCTAAAGCTTGCATTAACTATCAGTATTAGCATATACTGATGTGCACGAGTGCCTTTGTTTGATTGTAGAGTTTACCTAAAATAACAAATTAATTAATAATTGGATATGTTCAGGGCTATGATGTCTTAAAAAGAATTGCTGATGTGATTGGCCAATCAAACAGGAGCAAACTTGAGCAATTAAGCTCGTAAGAACTTTTTTAAGCTTTTATTACAGATTTATAACAGTAGCTTTATATTCCAAACGGCATGTCATGTCAATTAAAACTTTCTAACATTTTGAAGAAATGTGGAATTTTCATTCTTGATTCTTGGTTAATTTCTTTTTCTTTTTAATCACAGGGAATTCTATACTGTGATTCCACATGATTTTGGATTTAAAAAAATGCGTGAGTCTTCTCATTCTCTGTCTCTCTCTTGCCATACATGATATTACAACTAACATCGAAATATAAACTGTGCAGGTGATTTTGTCATTGACACGCCTCAAAAGTTGAAAAAGAAGTTGGAAATGGTGATTCATTAAATTTTAGTTTTAGAAATATGATTTCTTTCTGCTATCTTGTTAGAAGGGTTCTCTTGTATCTAGCCAGCCTATATATATATATATTCTAATTACTCTCCTGACAACCTCAGTGAATTCATCGTGCAGCTTTTAATAACATTGACTGCTTGTTTATGTGAGCCTTTTACATGTTGGTGCCAATTTTCATAGTTGCTTTCTTTTAGAAGGAGCATTCTCAGTTCCTTTTATGTAATTGAAGGTTGAAGCCCTGGGAGAAATAGAGGTTGCAGCGAAATTATTAACGGACGACACTATGATGGAGGTATTCCTTATAAGCTGTGCTGTACCTTTTCTACAATCTTCTCCTCCCTTTAATCTCCTTTCTGGTTTCATCTGTTAAATAATTTGAACAGTAAATTGGTTTTTTAAACAACTAGAAGTGTTTGCATGACTAACAAGCACTGCATCTGGCGACCATGATTGTATTTTGCTTGTAAATTTATGAGATGTTTGTCTTTATGTGAATCATATGTGAGTGCCCGAAGAGAAAGGTGAGTTTGTTGTAGAGCTTATTTTGCATTTGTTAGTGCTGTAATTGTATGACCTGTAAAGCATATGGACTTCTGCTATGTTCTTTGTATCTGTTTAAAGTCTACTTTTCAACCGTTCTCATTCTTTCTTCTTAAGCTGACTGCTAAAAATTTATGCTTCCTTGATTGCTTTGGTCTATAGTGGGCTTAATTTATGGAAAAGTCAATTTTAGTACCCAAATTTCTTCCTTTCTGACTTCTTTTGCTATATTAATGTGTCCATATATATATATATATATGTATATATATCTTGAGATGCTTACCCTTTTTTCCTGTTCTTTCTCAACGGGTTATGCATGCACTGCTTTTCTGTTCTAATTTAAGTTTGTGCCGTTGTTGCAGGAAGATCCTTTACATTATCGTTACCAACAGCTTCATTGTGAACTGATTCCACTGGACGATGACTCTGAGGAATTTGCTATGGTATTTGTTAGTCTGCGTAGCATTAGAATTTAGAAGTTTTAAACATAAAAACTTAGGCAACTTGTAACTTTTTATTTCTATTTTCGAGGCCCTCTTCAAATTTTGACAAAAACATGTAATTTACAGATTAGTTTTGCAATTTCCCTTACATTTTTAGCCATGCATTTCGGTAGCTAGCTTTCTTACATTTTCTCTATTCATTTTTTGTTCCCCTGCTCAGATTGCGAAGTATTCTCAGAACACTCATGCAAAGACGCATTCACATTATACTGTTGATATTGTTCAAATATTCAAGGTGGCAAGAGAAGGTGAAATTGAACGCTTTAAAAAGGTGCGACTCCCATGAATATGTTTTGTATTTAAAATTTAATATTTCCCTGTTGCTTTTCTAAAAAAAAAGTTAATATCTCCCTGATAAGTGTAGAATGTCCTTTTACCTAGTGTTTTATGTTGGTTTATCTTAATGGCTTCTTATTTTTTTGAGCAGTTCTCTGCAACCAAAAATAGAATGCTTTTGTGGCATGGTTCCCGGCTTACTAACTGGACTGGCATTCTGTCCCAAGGTCTGTCCTTTTCTCTGTTGTTTCTGAATGTAGTTAAGTATGTACAGATTTGTTGGCAGGATGTATTTCCTTTTCTCTGCTGTTTCTGGACCTTGGGATTGCAATTCTGTCCCAAGACCTTTCCTTTTCTATCTTGTTTACGCATGTAGTCAAGAATGTATGAGTGGGAATGTGAGGTTGTTTGTCAATAACCACTATCTAACCGCATCTGGTTCTTAACATCCGCCAGGTTTGCGCATAGCTCCACCTGAAGCACCTGTAACAGGTTACATGTTTGGAAAGGGGGTTTACTTTGCTGATATGTTCTCCAAAAGTGCAAATTATTGCTACACTAGTTCTTCCTTTACAACTGGGGTGCTGCTTCTATGTGAGGTTGTTCTTAATTCAGTTCAAATGATAATTTGGTAATACAGTGGAACATGGTTCTACCATCAAATATGTCAAATATTGTGTCAACTTTAAGGATTTATAGCAGAGATTGCAATCTGAGTATTAATTTATGTCAGAGATTCCAAACTGAATATTCTTTGTATCAATGGTTCAAACTGGTTAATTCTCAATGGACTGAAATTGAAAGGTTCCAATCATTGATCTCACTACTTTGATGTTTTGCATATGAATTTTCTTGGAACTATTGAAATTGACTGCTTGCTAGTCATGTGTGCATGCCTTGGCGCTTCCATAAATCATTTTTTTCTTGTCTTTCTTGTGGTTTAGTATTCTCACAAGTCATTAATAATTTACCTCTTAGGTTGCACTGGGTGACATGGCTGAGCTTCTACAAGCTAAAAGTGATGCTGATAAGCTGCCAGATGGGAAGTTGAGGTTTGTAAAATTCTACCTGAACGACTGAGAGCTTATAAGCAACCCGGCCGTCTATTTGTTTTTGAAATCTTGGGACTTTCCAAACCCACAGCTAGATACAGTGAGGAGTGTTTTCCTGCCACATATGTTTTGAATCTACTGTTTATCTAGTGCCATTTGGTGGCAACATATAAATGTTAGTTCTGTTCTACTCTCCTTAGTAACATGTTAATTGATGTGAAGTTAATTTTGTATTGCAGCACAAAAGGTGTTGGTGCAACTGCACCAGATCCCTCTGAAGCCTGGACACTTGATGATGGTGTCATAGTTCCCCTTGGAAAGCCGAAGGAGCAAAAACGTGAGGTATCATCAGGAATTTTTATTCCAGGAAATTAACCATTTAATTTGAAACTATACTCAAAACTTGTGTTTGCTTTATACAATGGAATTCTTGTTGCAGGGTGCTTTATGGTACAATGAATACATAGTCTACAATATGGATCAGATTAGGATGCGTTACTTGGTTCAAGTTAATTTCAAACACCCCAAGTAGTTTTCCTTCCAATTGTGGATTGACTTGCTCATATTTGTTCTATCACCATTTTGTGCTGCGGTTCTTAATCTCTCTTATCTTGTAATTTCATGAAATTATATTTCCTTCTATCTGTCAACCCCTTTTGGATACCAGGCAGGGGATTTGTCATGCTGTAGTGCTCTAATTTCATACATTTTTAACTTAATGAATCGAATCCCTTATTTCTTTTAGAAATTTGAATATAGGAGATATAATTTACGTTCATTACTTCATAGAGAAGAAAATTTGAACACAAATTTTAATCGCTGGCTTGTTCTAATGCTTTGTCCTGCTTTATCTATTCAACTAAGTGCCCTCTTGGGAACATGTGATGGACTTTAATCAATGAAGCCCATGCATTTGTATAGGTAAATATCTAAACAGGCGTAACTTTCCGGGGAGAAAAATCTGTCTTTGGATCATGGCAAGAACAAGAGTCAACTGAAAATCAGTCATAGGCTATGATAATATCATACGTCGGCCAATTTGTTTTCTTGCTGTTCCTCTGTTCTTGAAGGCAAAGTCAAATATATGCATCAAAGCATGGTGGACTTTGGCGTGTTGGAAGTTGGAAGCATGAGTAAACTTTTGAAAACTTGTGAAGGAAATTTGAGTGTATGACCCAATAAGGCATTTACAACAAAACCACAAAAAAAAATTTGCAGGAGCAGGATGCACACGCTAGCATTTATTTCTCTAGATTTTGATGATGACATCATCTCAGAATCTATGTTCTTCTTCCACATGACAGAAGTGGAGATTTAAGGGTGACACAACTTCAGGTACATACATACATATACATACATACATATATATACATACATATATACATACATACATATATATATATTGAAAAAAAGGCACTTTCAACTCTCCTCTTGATCTTACCAATTTTTTTATAAAACACAGAGCTTCTGAGCTCTTGTGTAAGCCTTTGCGGCTTCCTGTCTTCTGAGACAGGAACTTGACCCTTGAGTTTAACAACTCTGTCTGTCTACTAACAGCTGCTGAGTTTAACTTCATTCAGGATTAGTGTTAAAAAAGAATGGGATGGGATGGATAACGGCTTTTTGGGAAAATTTTCAGAAAGAAATTGTGAAATTAGCTGGGTGTTTTCTCGTTCAATTATAATTGTATGGGATCATTATTACAATTCCGAGTTTGATATTTGCACACTTTTGCTCCATCCTTAAAAGTTTGCACGATTTGATAATATGGTTCGTTTTGCAACCATATTGCTTTGCTTAAATGCATTAAATCCCTGTCATCAGGGTGTTAGAAATTCTATCGAGTCGTTTAGGTTATGGAAACAAGGCCATAAACTTTGCCGGGGTGAAAGCTGTGCCTACTCCATTAATAGGGAATCATATCAACCTAGGGAGGCCCCCTTCCCTGTTAGGAAACACCCTTTTCTCTCTCTCTCTCACATACCCACACTCAAAAGTTTGCACGTTTGCACCCAACACGGCAACACGCAAAGCCTACGTGCACTCTTACATTATTCTCCTCTGCCTCTTGCACCAACAGGTTCTTCCCCAAAGAGAAACTCAATTTAAAAAAAGGAGGGAGGTGGCTTACCCCAGCAAATGGCCCCATAGTCCCATACATGGTGGTGGGACCCGATGTCATGGCACGAGATTCTTGATCCAAAGGCAAGCAATGGTAGGGAGGGAGGTTATCTTTTTTCATTGCTGGTGGGATAGGTTTTTAGAGGCTTTTCTGCTTGTCAGTCTGTGCCTCGGATCCTGCAAGGGAACAAACACATTGGTGGTGGCATGGGTTTTGTGAAATTAAGGCAGACAGTACCCGCTTGGTCTTCCTTAGCTATCTCTACTTTGAATTTCTTTGCGTACCACCATGATTGCATGGCATGGCTTTTGCCTTTCTCCTTGCCAGAGATTTTCCTCCACTCCCCTCTAGCCCAGTCCCTCAACACTATCAAATTCACTCATTGCTCCCTCCCTTACTCATTGGAATTGTTACAAATAAAATAAAAAAAAAGAAGCCTGCTCCGTCCCTCCCCGTTTCTCTCTCTTGCACTTATAAATACTTGACCTTCTTCATTCATCTCTTACACTCACACATCTCTACTCAAACACGTTTTCGAACTCGTTCATGGTTTCAGCTGCCGGGTGAGTAGCTCCTTGTTGGAGAAGCAGGGCACGTGCAAAATTGCCAATCCTTTTTGGCTTCTCAAATGCCATGTCTCGCGTTCTGCACGTGCTCCCCTTCTCCAACACGGGTTCCTCGCCCTATCTTCCTTTATCTTTTTTCCACTACCTCGTTTGCAAGCTCTCTAATGCATAAATAATTTGTAAGTAATGTAGTTGCAGATAATATACATTAATTTCTCCCCATTTTCTCATCATATTCTACTCTCTCTCTCTCTTTTTTCTTCCGTTTCTTTTTATTTTTCCAAAACATATTCGAGCTTATTCACTATGCTAATTACTCCGTTGGAGAAAGATAATTAAGGCGTAATTGCAGGAATATAGTCTCCTCCTCCTCCACACTGAATATATAAAGGAAGGGAGATCAGCAACATTGGTGCTCTGGGGTTTTAATTCAGGGGAGGCCTCTGCCCATGATGCATGACGTACAGTCCTTGAGATTGCTGCTTTCATATCCAAGTTCAGAAAACTCAATCCTTACCATTTATGGCTGGGGATTCCAACCTAATCTACGCAATTAAACAGCCAGCCCAGTTACCATGCACGACGATCAGCTTTATAATTATAATCTACTTCATGTAACTTTTTCATGTTCTGAGAAAAGTTCATGTAACTTTTTGGCTGATGCTGCTGCCCTGCTGGTTTTGTTACAGTCAATCATACTTCAATTATTGACATCTTAATAACGAAACTTTCATGCTTTGCTTTTACAAACAAGCTGATCATGCTTCATCGCTTAAACCAAAATAAGTAGTAGTAAATGATTAAAATTTATAAGTTAGCTTAAAATTTGAAAATTAAAGTAAAAAAAAAAAACTTAGTGTGTACTAAATTTGTTCAAGAGCCAGGAAACACGAATTATATGACAGGGCGAAACGGAAGGTGCCTTTGATTTATGAGGTGGCAATAATAATTTTAAAGAGCTTACCTTGGAAGGAAAATATTGCATATAGCAAAGTTAAGATATGGAAATTTCATTTTTAAATGTCACATGCAATTATTATTTCAATTTGAGTTATCAAACGCAATATGTCTCCACGTTAAAGTAAAGTTATATATACTTTTCACATTTTTTAAATAGTTTTATAAAATAGATCATTACATATTTAAAATATAAAACCAAATTCAACTCCATTTAGAGACTTGAATAGTTAAAATGTAATGCCAATTTAAATATAGTTAATTTGCTCTGTGTGAAAATAAAATTTTGTACTCTGATATAAGAAACCCCATGTTTGCTTGGTGGCCCACTTTTGGATTTTAGCCCAAATTTTGTATCCACCAACTTGTCCTTGTTCAAAGTTTAAACCCACTTAGCTGGGCTTTGAGCCAGTTTCTTAACGAAGGGCCAAGCTTTACCCTGGTCAGAGATTCAGTTCACCCACACCCTTTCGAGAAAGGGTCGGGTCTAGCCTCCAAATTCCTAAATCCTAGTAAACCCCTTCGCTCTCACTGAGAATCCCCAATTTATTTGCAGCCACCACCACCGCTACCGCAAGCTCTGCTTAGCGATGGCAGAAAAGAAGCGGAAAGTGAGAGCAGGAGGCGGCGAATCCAGAACCAACAAAAAGTTCAAAAAGCATTCAAACTCCAAAGGCCTAACCAAGAAAAGCAAGGATAAATCCAATATGAGAAGGAACAGAACAGGTCCTCGCTTGCCTTCTGCGCTGCGAACGGAGCTCGACCGCCTGAACCCTAGAATCTCATCCAACAGCGATGACGAGATCAATTCGAATGTGGAAAACGATGTTTATGAGTACGAGGAAGAAGTGCCCCAAGAAGAGTCTCGGAAGAACCGCCGCTTCGACCCTGTCGAGAACTATGAATACGAGCTTCCCGAGGATTTTGAGGTTCGCTTCTCACTTTTAAGCTCGTTAAGTGAGTTTTCCTTTTTTTCATAATAAATTTATAATGTTCTAGAGTTTATTATATGTTCTTAATTTGAAAACACTTTGTAATTCGGAAATTCAGGGTTTTTGTATTCTATCATTTGCTCAATTTTCGAATTTAATTTTTATTTATTTTTTAAATATAGATCTTCCAAATGAAGCTATATTGATTGAAGCTTGAAGTGAATTGAGTTTGAATCATGTTAAGGAGCTATAGTTTAATTTGAATATCAAGCTGCTAATTGTTGCTTGAGGCAATAACTCCGCAATGATTTCCACAATTTGATGAAATTATGAGTAATGGCATAAATGATTCTGTGGTCTCTAGGAAGTATTTTGATAAAATTAGTGGTTATCGCACATCTCACAGTCTTCTGCTTATTATTTCTAGGATATCGTCGTATCTTGCATCCTAAATTCTTGTTCCTTATATTTATTAATACTTTAATCTTCTCATGTAGGATGAAAATGTGTCATCGGATGATGATGATGACGACGACAATGACTTTGATGTTGGTGGAAATGAGGGGAATGTGATTGAAGATCTTGATGGTAGTGATGGGGTTGAAGAGGAAGATGATGGAAGGCACTTGAGGATGTTGCAAGGAATCACTGGAATGTCAAGTGATGCCTTTGAAGGTAAGACTTTGTTGAATATACATTGACGAATAAGTATGAGGTTCACTGATAAACCAAGTTCAATGACTTATGCGTGCTTTTTAATGGTTGTAGGGCTCTAATAGACAGAATAAGCATCTTGGTCATCTTTTTAATTAATTATCCTATCTTTTCTTGGTATCTCTTTATAAGTTTCTAACAGCTCTGTTGTTTGAGAAGTTGAATTAAATGTCCTCAACAATATGGCCGATATCTGTCTGACACAGGACTTAGCACCTGTGTTTTATGTGAAAATTCTTGTCTACATGACATAGTCATCAATCTGAAACTTATATTTGTATATAACAGTTCTTACATACATGTGATATTTTACATGAATTGCAATGGGTAAACATGCCATCCTTAATTGAAAAATGAGAAAATTATCTGGATCTATTCATGTGGGCATTGGAAAGTTACCTTATACTATTGAGTTGATATGCTTGGTCTCAAATTTTTGACAATGTAGGCAAGAAAAAGAAAAATAATGTGGTTATATCTGAGGCACATCCTGAGTCAGAATACAATCCTACTCGTGATGTTCTGGAGGGTGATGGCCACATTACAGTTCAAGATCTGTTGGAGCCTATTCAAGGAAAACCTGGGTATAGCAAACTTAGAAAAAGAGTGCAACACATGGACAGAAAGTCAACATCTATTCAAGCTCCGCTTCCAAAGGCAGATAGAGAGAAGTTGGAGAGGATGGCAGTGTATGAACATTCAAAGAAAGATATTACTAAGTGGGAACACTTGGTCAAAAGGAATAGAGAAGCTCCGACTATTTTTTTTGGTGAAGATGTAGACTTGGGGTTTTCAACTGTAGGGGCAATAGCTTCTGAATTTGAGCCTAGAACTGAGTTTGAGAAGAAAATTGCTTCTTTGGTTTATGATGAAAAAGTTATTGAAGCTCACAAAGCAGATGGTTCCAAGCTTCTGGAACTAAATAAGGTATCGGCATTTTAGACTGACCTGGTTCACTAAACCTGGCATTTGTTATTTTTATAGGTTTGCAAGATGCCTGCCTCTCCTTCTGGTCATAAACTTTCTATAACCAAACAAACTATTTCTCCTTGCTTAGTAAATTTTCCCTTAAATTTGTGATGATTTTTCATTTCGATCTTTTGATTAAAATATATTGAATACACTAAATTACTGCATGTCTGGATGAGACATAGTTAAATTAGTTTACAACCATGGTCAGATCTTTGAAGATTCTCAGATATACTCCAGTGCATTTACACATCATTGATCGAACTGAATTAATATGACCATTTAATGTTTGATTGCCGATATTAAGTTTTATTTTTTGGTGGAATTTGGACTCAACTTTCTTTCCGTTCAGATGTTAGCATGCTTTTTTGCTTTATAGATTTTCAGAAATATGTGTTGCCATCAGGGTTTTTCTACCAGAGAGCTTATAGGTTTTGGCTCTGACAAGTTTGGACTATAATGTTGAAGAAGTCTTGAAATCAACTGAGATCATAATTTTCTATATGAATGAAAGGAATTTGTCATATTAGGAGCAAACATTAATATAGGTTGCATTTTGATTTTGCATATTTTTATTTTATAGCTTGTCATTCTCTAAATTTTTCTGTAGATATATAAATAAAATCAGCTGGATCTTTTAATATGTTATGCTTCTGCAATGGTCTCTATTCAATTGCATATAATATTGTGTGCAACTGTTGGTCTGTCATTGCTTAAAAATTCAGTTGTTAAGATCTTCAAGATTATTTGAGTGTCTCTGGTCTTCATTGATGCTTGGCAGATATCTGCAGAAGATTACATGAAGCACCGAAATCACATTGCTAAAATGCGCAGCCTTCTTTTCCATCATGAAATGAAGAGAAAACGCATCAAAAAGATCAAGTCCAAAACCTATCATCGTTTAAAAAATAAGGATAAACTTAAAGCAGCTTCTGCAGAAATGCTGATGGATCCTGAGGCAGCCAAAGAGCAGGCTAGGAAGCAAGAGTTCAAACGGGCTGAGGTAATCCATCATCTTTCTTGATTTTCATCAATATTCTGTTCTTCAAATGATATTAGTTCATCTGTGTTCACCCAAAAATAGAGTAAAAAATTTGGAATCTTGATTTTTCTCTCTATTACTTGACAATGCAGGAGCGAATGACTTTGAAGCACAAAAATAAGTCAAAGTGGGCAAGGCGTATTTTAGAGCGTGGTTTGAATGCCCAGGATGAAGGTACTCGAGCAGCTATGGCTGAACAGCTTCACCATCATTCTCTTTTAACAAGAAAAATAAACACTGTGAAGGACAGTAGTAGTAGCAGCAGTGATAGCAGTAGTGATGAGGATGATGAGGGTTCAGACCAGGATAGGGGATCAGAGTTGCTAGAAAAAGCAAAAGAGAAGACACTGAAAGTTTTAGAAGACGATGAGGAAGTGCCTAACTCTGGAGTGCTTTCTTTACCTTTCATGGTATGCTTTGCTTCAATTTTTCCTTTGGACTGTTGAAAGACTTACTCGTAAGTTGTATTTGCTTATTTTCTTCTGATATATTGTGCGTCATTTGTTATGTATTAGGTTCGTGGATTGAAGAAAAGAAAGGAAGAAGCTATTGAAGAAGCAAAGCTTGCTCTTCAGGAGTATGAGCAATTGGAGGGGACAGATGGTGCTGTAAATTTAAAACCAGCCACTGCAAGTGGTAGAAGGGTCTTTGGCATGGCTAATAATGAAGCTTCAGAATCTAACAATAAGATCAAAACTGATAATAATAAGATGAAAATGGATAATTATTATGGTAATAGTGATAGTGAAGATGATTTGGAAGCCAAAGATAATCTTAATATTAAGGGTGGCAGAAAAAATGATGTTGAGAAGGATGCTGGCCCTAACTGTGTTCATAAAGAAGCTGCTGATGTTCGTCAGGATTCTGTATTCAGGGTAATGTGGCTTCTGATTTTGTTGTGGCCTTCCTTTTTCAAATCTTTTACTCCTTGAGGGTAATAGATATTGCTTTTTTTGTGGCTCACAGAATTTTGATGACATTGTTAGAGGCCCGGGTCCAAAAACAACATATGAAGTTGCTATTTTTACCTCAGACTCATGGAGAAAGGTTATGCTTTGCTATCATTTTTTATCACGTTCTTAAATGCAGAGGAAGCTGGTCTTGTACGCTAACTGGTGTGTATGCAATGGCAGATGAAAAGTGGGAATGGAATGGATGCGAATGTCAAAAAGTCACAAGAAATCAAGGAACCTATTGTGCGGAATCAAGACTTGAAGGTTTGATCTCTTTGCTACTGTTAATTATGCTCTACCTTTGGTGTGTTAGGGCAGCTCCTTATTGTCCTGTTTCTTTTCTAGGAAACTCTGAAGGAGGGAGAAGAGGGAAGTGATTCAGATAGCGAAGGACAAATGGTGGATGGGATTTTGTCCGCAGGCCCCAAAGGCTCATATGAACTTCCCTCTCAATCAGAGCTCATTCGACATGCTTTTGCTGGGGATGATGTGGAAGAAGAATTTGACAAGGATAAACAGGAGATCTTGAATGAGGAAAATCCTGAACCTGATAAACCTGTTTTGCTCCCTGGTTGGGGCCAATGGACTCATATACAGCAAAAAAAAGGTTTGCCTTCGTGGATGCTTAAAGAACATGACAATGCAAAGCGGAAGAGGGACGAAACTCTTAAGAAAAGGAAGGATGCACATCTCAAACATGTCATCATCTCTGAGAAGTTAGATAAAAAGGTAAGTGGTTTAGTTTTGTTAATCAACTTCCATCTCAGCATGTGTTGAGGTGATTTCAACTGGGACATTAAAGGTTAAGAGTTGTGTGCCAGAAAATTCTAATATTTGTGAAATTGATTTTTTTTTGAGAAAAATTTATTATTGTCATCAATTATTCTTGAAGATAAAAATAAACTGTATTGTCAACATGTCATACTAGTAAATATGTTGGATTTTGTGTCAAATGAGCCAATTCTTTGTTAGTGTGCATTCATTAAGGAACATGCTTGACAAAGTGTTTCTCATTCTGGTATAGGGGCATCCAGTTGCACTCTGTTTCCCTTTCTACATAGTCTAATTGCACTCTTTCTGGTGGTTAAGTGGTTCTCTTTCTTAATTTCTCTGTATTTGTATTTGACAGGCTGAGAAATTGCAAACAAAAAGTTTGCCATATCCTTTCACATCCAAGGAACTTTTTGAACAGAGTATGCGCATGCCCATTGGGTCTGAATTTAACCCAGAGACAGCAATCAGAGCTCTTAATCGGCCAGATGTAAGTTATTCAATCTTTTCAAAATCAATAGTCCTCAAAACCTCATATTTTCCTTTGGGGGGGTGGGGGTGCTTGTGTAAGGTTTTCATGTGATGAAAGAGAGGGGATTTGTGAAATATAGTTTGGCATTGACTTGGGAAGCTATTTCCATTGTTCCCTTTCTCTCCTCTTTTCCCATTTAATTCTCTCTGCTCCGCTTATGTATTGCTTGCAGCATAATGACTTGATCATGTTTCCCAAATTTTTATCCACTCACCTTGCCTGTGTTTGTGCAGGTGGTGAAGAAACCTGGTGTAATTATAAAACCAATCAAGTTTGAGGAAGTGCATCAGCATGAAAAACCAGAGGATCACAAACGGAGTGGGCAAAAACGAAAGCCAAATAGAAGCAAAGGTGCAGTAGGCAAGATGAAGAAACAATAGAGACACGGCAACTAAATCTCATTTATCCCGAAATTGCTTGCTCTTGTACACTTGTAATTCATCTCCTCCTAAAGGATTGGTGTTTGAAGGATAAAGAATGAAGAGTTACGTTTACTTGTAATCGACGGTGTTTAGGCATAAGCTTGTAGAGCTAGAGCATTAGGTGATTTGAGAGGGGCGGGAGTGTGATAATTTGAGAGGTTTTTGGTAGAAATTTTGTATAAGTTCTCCATGTTTACTGATGCAAGGAAACAAAACAAATTTTTTTTTTTCCAAGGCAGGGGTAATTAATCCACTAATGAAGTGTATTAGAAGAAGTTGTATTATTTATATTTCCTCCTTGCAGCTTGAAAAATCAGCTGTGAAATGAACGAAGGATGATTTAAGGTTTCTTGACCGGTATCTTGTCAGTTAAAATTCAGTCATTGAGTTTACTTCAATACCTAATCCTAAGTGAGAGTGAATTAAAAATCAGTTGTCATTGTTCTCTTATTTTTTAATTTTTTTTCTACTTATTAAATTTAGCGATTGATATTAATAATTAGCATAAATGAATTGACATTAGTAATGTGTAAATGACTGAAACGACATGATTTTTCTGCTCCACCCGTGAGACAGTGCTTTAGTTTGGACTAGATGTATCACTGAGAAAGGCATAGCCCAAAAAGAAATGACGTATTACTACGAAAGGCCCATGCGTACCAATGTTGCGTAGCGCCGGCAAGGTTAAACCGCCTCGGCACTTCACCCGCTAATTTATAATTCAAATTTATAACTTATAAAGAATACTGTGGGTGTTGTTTGTGAACAGGACAGCCATGAATTCTCTCTGATTGCCTTCCATTTTGCAAAAACGATAAGGAAGAGGAAAAATGCTGCACGAGCTCTTACTAGCACTTGTTGGTTACACCGGAGATCTCATAATCGACGAGCGAGAACACTATAAATCTCTTGGCCTTCACTTATCTCCCGACGCCCCCATCTCCGACCAACGTTCCTTCAAGCTTGCTTCCGATATTTCCTTCATCGACTCCAGCGAAAGGTCTTTTTTAAAAAGAATATTTTCGATTCTCAATTTTCGTAAATATCCAAACTCTCCCTTCTTTTTTTTTCCATTCTATTCCTAGGGTTTTTTTTTTTTTTACAATTGCTACTGTTTCAGGGATCTTATCGAGAGGCTAATTACATTGGGGTTTTATTACCGAGAGCTCGATCGCTTTGCCACGAAAGCCCGGAATTTAAGCTGGATAAGGTCCGCTGATGTTTCTCCTTTGGAGAGAGCCGCTGGGTTGTCCAAACCTAAGACCGAGAAGCCAAGCGTTTATCGCAGAGCCATTGCTAATGGGCTGGTGGAAATACTCTCTGTCTATAGGTCTGCTGTTCTTCAAATCGAGCAGAAATTGTTGTCGGAAACCATGCCCATTTTGGCAACTGTCACTCAGGGCCTCAATAAGGTTTCTTCTTAAGCACATCGCATCGCGGATTTAATTTCCACTTGGGCCCTTAATTTTAGTTTATAATTTTTTTGGGGTTGCAGTTCTTTGTTATTTTGCCACCTTTGTACGAGCTTATTCTAGAGATCGAGCGTGATGATATACGTGGAGGACAGCTTCTTAACCTTTTACACAAACGCTGCCACTGTGGGGTGCCTGAATTGCAGGCCTGCATTCAAAGGTATTCACTTTTCTTTCTTACTTTCCTTCTTTCTTCTTCTTCTTTAAAGAAAAAAGAAATGCATATAATTAGTCTCCATCTGTATAAGTATGGCAAATTGTTTTCTGAACATTAATACTATCCTTTATGTACCTTTATGCGTCTTGAGTGAAAATTCCTACTGTAATTAAGAAACAATTCTTCAATATGCTCTTAATTAATTGAGATTAAAGCAATGAAAATGGTCCAACTTTTTATTATGCTTATTTTTCAGTGTTCATGTAAATGCTTGTGAATGGCTGGGACGATGTTTATGCCTTGTTTTTTAGGATCTGTCTTCAAATGTGGTTGTACTTGTGTGTTGATTGTTCTAAAGATGCCAGGACCTTTCTAATCAGCTTGCTAATTCTTAAACCATAGGCTTCTTTGGCATGGTCATCAAGTGTTGTATAACCAACTTGCATCATGGATGGTTTATGGGATTCTTCAAGACCAGCATGGAGAATTTTTCATTAGAAGGTAGGGACTAAGAGTGTTTTTACCCTTTTGATTCAAAATATGTATTTCTTTTAAGATCTTTAAATCTTTTGATTGTTTTTTGGAACTTAAACGTCTTTTAATTCTTTGATTTCATATTCTTGCATAGATATTCTCTTTGGATTATGTTACTTTGCACCTTTGAAACTGGTTTGATAATCATAACACTTTTCAGGCAGGAAGATAGAGGTGTTGACTATCGCTCATCTATCTCGGATATGTCTGAAAAGTTGGCACGCTTGTCAACTGATGATACATCTTTAACGGATTGGCACTTGGGCTTTCATATTTTCCTGGTATTTTGGAGCTGTCTCTAGCATTTTCTTTGTTATCACATTTAAGCAAACTTCTGTTCATTGTTTTAGCTTAAATGAATAATAAACTAGTTGGAATGGGTAAACATAATTCAATGGGTTTGTGGTCAATTGTCATACTTTAAAGCATCACTGTTCTGCTGGAGTCACAAAGTTGGACAACACCATTGTCTTTATGGGAGCAACATTAACAGTTGCAGAATGAGATCTGACATGCCTGATGCAATCACATATGAGTATTTGCTTAGCAAATTGTTATTAAGGTAGGAGATGTCACTTGAAGACATTAGTTTGCATAGATAAATAGCATTGCCACTGGTTTTTCCAATAAGCAATAATTAAGACACAGGGATTTGTGGGTGGATTTCCTTGTTAGGTTAAATATGCATGTTGACGAACATGCACTCTATGTTTAATGATTACTAGTACCTATACATACTTTTGTTATTTACGGAGCTGTTACTATGAACTATAAGTTAACTGGAAGGAAACCTGGAAATGAATCTCTAAATAAAAAGGATTTCAGACACTTCTTTCAAAATGTTCTTAGTTTTGTTGCTGTTGCAAGCTATTTATACTTTTACTCTTGTTTCATAGGATATGCTCCCTGAGTATATCCCTATGCGTGTTGCAGAGTCGATTCTTTTTGCTGGGAAAGCCATCAGGGTTCTCCGAAACCCAAGCCCTGCCTTTCAATTTCGGGATGCTCTGTATAATCAGCAGATAAAAAAAGGCTCTCAAAAGGTTCAAGGATCTTCTGGGCGTGTTCCCTTCCAGAAGGAGCCTTTCCTGGATATAAAAATGGTTGGAGAAGAATTGCTTCCACAATCTGAGGCTGATAAGATTGAAACTATGCTTCAAGATCTAAAGGTTTTCTTCTACAGTCATGTAGTAGTTTATCTACTTATATGCCTTTAAATGATAGAAAGCCTTTATTCATTGTCCATAAATGATAGAAAGCCTTTATTCATCGTCCATAAATGATAGAAAGCCTTTATTCATCGTCCATCTGTTATGTGTAGGAATCATCAGAATTTCACAAAAGGTCATTTGAATGCTCAGTTGACTCTATCCGGGCTGTTGCAGCTAGTCATCTTTGGCAGGTGCTGTATGTCAAACTTGGTAACTGATATATTTGAAGCTTGTATTTACTTAATTTGCTCTATTCTGCAGCTTGTGGTTGTACGTGCCGACTTGAATGGGCACCTGAAGGCTCTAAAAGACTATTTTCTTTTGGCGAAAGGAGACTTTTTCCAGGTAAAGAATGTATAGTATGTATGGCCTTTGCCAAAAAGAAAGGGGGGAGAGAAAAGGGAAATACTTCCCTTAGGTTCTGTGTCCTAGTCTTCCCAGTTTTATTTTTTCCTTTTCAACTAAATAAAATGATTTTATATCCTCAAATCTTGGCTTATAGTTCAATTACAGTCTAATGCTTAGCTTACAGTAGATGTGCAACAAACACTAATTGCATTTCAACATCATGCTGAGGATTTTGACTTTATTCTTGCCAACACGTAACATGTTTTAATAAATATTTATTATGATTCCAGTGCTTTCTTGAGGAGAGCCGGCACTTAATGCGCCTGCCACCTCGCCAGTCAACTGCTGAAGCTGATCTTATGGTTCCATTTCAGCTGGTATGAGATTATTTCTAATAACTTCTTGTTTGAAACCATATATATATATATATATATTATAATAATAAATGTAATCATACTTTTTAAACATAAGTCTTAGCTTATTGAGGTTTCAGATTGAATAACTGTTTGTATGAATTCCATGCTATACTTGCATTGCAGGCAGCCATAAAGACTATTAGTGAGGAAGACAAATACTTTTCGAGAGTATCTTTGCGGTAAGACTCTAGTCATTTTGCCATCAGTCATGCCACTTCTGGAAATTACAAAAGATATGTACTTAATTATCTTTACATCAATCAGGATGCCTTCATTTGGGATCACAGTAAAATCCTCTCAAGTAGATTTACCAAAGACAAAAACATACACTGATGGAAGTTCAGGTGCTGTACTATCAAATGCTTCTTCAGAGACATCACTTGATGGTTGGGATGGTATTGCCCTTGAATATTCTATTGATTGGCCCTTACAGCTGTTCTTTACCCAAGAAGTGCTCTCCAAGTAAGTTTCTATTGCTTCATGGATACCTTATATGTTTCTTATTACCAAATTTTCTTTAGGCAAGAAGCAGTCTTTTGAAATAAGAAATGATAATTGTGTAAGCAAGTCATAGGTTTAGCTTATATGGTTAAAAGACTTTATATTACATTTGTTAATCGTAATTGTGCTCCAGGTACCGTAGAATTTTCCAGTACCTGCTGAGGCTCAAACGAACACAAATGGAATTGGAGAAATCCTGGGCATCTGTTATGCATCAGGATCACACAGATTTTGCCAAACACCGCAATGACCGGATGAACTGCTCAATATCTCAGCCACGGCGGCAGCGTTGTAGACCAATGTGGCATGTTAGAGAGCATATGGCATTTTTAATCAGAAATCTTCAATTTTATATCCAGGTCCTTGATTCTATAGAATTCAAATCATGTGTCTTTGCAAAATTTTTCCAGAGATTTTTCTAGCAAAGAAAGCAAGGGCTTTTATTACGCATGCTAGGCAATTTGATAGAGTTGTCCATTTAAGGGCTTGTATATGTGCTACATCCTTCTTTTAAAATTTGTAGTTAAACTTTACACCTTTGATTATGATCTAGTCTATGGTTATATGGGTAGCTGAAATGGTTTTATTCTCTGATGTAGGTGTTAGATGGGCCTTAGATCTTCATTAGGGTGCTTGCCACTTTTAAGTTTTCAAATTAGCAACACCTGTTGCAGTTACTGCATGTATCTTGACACAACACTGGCATAATCATGAAAACCCCATTAGCGCGCTGTATGATTAGTTTGTAACTTGTCCATTGAGGTATTGGCCAATATTCTGGTGCAAGTTTCTGATCAATATTCATATTGAAAAGTAGGGAATAGTATCATCAGATGCAAAGTCTTTGATGACAGCTTCAGTGTTGCATCATAGGCAGAAAAATAACGTCTGCACCAATGAATAACTTTAAGCACCAATTTCATGGATCCTAGTGAAAACAAGTTGAGACAAAAGTTACTGGGAAGGGAAATCAGATATCGCCAGCTCTGAAAGATTCTACATAGTTTGACCAGACAAATATTGATATAGATTCCTTTTGAGTTTTATAATAATGTTCTTAAATGACATTGAGAATTAGATACCTAATATTTTGATATCAGTCTTGTTTATTCTCTCTTGTTGAATGCAGATGTGTTCTTTTCTTTATGTATTTATATATTATGCATTTCATGAGTCCTTCATAATTGAGATTTTATCTTTTCTGTTTTAGGTTGATGTGATAGAATCTCAATGGAATGTTTTGCAATCTCATATTCAAGATTCTCATGATTTCACTGAACTTGTGGGTTTCCATCAAGAGTAAGTAGGATGAGTTCATTACACTAGCATCCATCTGAATTTTCAAATACTATATTAGACTGTAAATTAACTGTTAAGTTTTTTTTTTTTTATGAATGAGTTATTTCTTAAGATTTTACTTGCTAATATACATGGAATCACAAACATTGTAAACATTGAATCATTATTGCTTGTTACTATTTATAAGGACTTGATTTAGGTGAATTTCATACAAATCATTGCAAAGTATGTTTTGGTTCACGAATGTAGATATCATAGAAATCATGCCATATTATTGCATATAATTTTTCAATGTAGAATGAGTTTATGCATAGCACTTTTGGTGTTTTTCTATTAATTCTTTTGGTTTATCTTGCCAAACATTGATGATATGCTGAGGGTGTACATGTGTTTAACATTGTTACAGGTATTTATCAGCTTTAATTTCTCAGTCTTTCTTGGACATTGGCTCTGTGTCAAGGATATTGGACAGCATCATGACGGTTTGCCTGCAGTTCTGCTGGAATATTGAGAACCAAGAAAGCAGTCAAAACACATCTGAACTAGAACGTATAACCGAGGTATCATCTCTTTTTTGTTCATGAAGGTAGCACAAGCAGAAGTATTTTGAATTAGTGAATATGATGGATATGTGCCTTTAATTTTTCAGATGTTGGTTCAAACTTGCAACTTATGCTTAGTTGGTTTGTGACAATTTGCCTTGGATTTTTAACACTTCAATTTAGGACTAGGTCAAATCACCAAAAAAGGGAAAAATAAATAGATAGGCTAATTCTCTCTTTGGAGACTTTGTCAAGTGTAAAGAAACAAGTTGGTTGGCTTGCCACTTGCTATTAATAGTGGGACCAGACCTCCATCTCTGCATATTTCAGAAGCTGTTATTCTCCTCATTTCAGCTAGATATGTTTTAATTAACTTATGCTTAGCGATTCTCTTATTCATTCATGTTACTAGTTGCACGGCCCTGTATTTTAAAGACACTGTTCTTAACCTTTTCCAGGAATTTAACAAGAAATCAAACTCGTTATATACCATATTGCGCAGTAGCAGGCTTGCTGGGAGTCAGCGAGCTCCATTTCTGAGACGTTTCCTTTTGCGTATGAATTTTAATTCCTTCTTTGAGGTAATCTCTGCATGTTTATGCTGGAGTCTTCCAGATACTCAAAATTTAGCGCATATAATTTTCTTACATGCTGTTTCCTTCTACTAACAGGCAACTGCAAGGGGTGTGCTGAATGTTGTCAGACCACGCCCATCGCTTCCTGTTTTAAATCAGCGATAGCATTTGATTATATGAAATTTCTGAAGTAGCTTGTCTGATTCTTATTTGAGTGTTCCTTGTGGTGCTGCTGTCTCCTTTCATGTTTGTTTGTGGGAGGATGGTGCTTTACTGCCCAGACTGAGGTGCATACTTGTTTTCAGCTTTATGAATTCCCATTAACCATCTCAAATCAGTTACTACTGCATAAGTTATCTGACTTGGAGTTTGCTGCTTGCTCCTTGTTGACCATTGAGTAACCATATCTGGGAAGTTAGATATCATTGTGGGTAGCAGGCTCGAGGGTGCAGTTTATTCTCAGCGGTAAGCAAGCCCTTGGCAGATAAGCCATGCCTTGCTAGGTAGCTGGAGTTTACGAGACCTGTATTTGGCTTGGACTGGCTACCCTTTTGTGATAAGGTGGTGCATTGACGGTTGGTTTCTTTCTTTTCTTCTCTTTTCGTTTTTTTTTTT